TCCTCGGGGGGGTCCGGAGAGGCCATTTTTCTGCAAAATGCAGAAAATGCCTCCGGGTAGGCGGCGATGCTGCATGCCCCCCCCCCCCCTCCTTTTTTTTTTTTTTTTTTTTTTGGGGGGGGGGGGGGGGGGGGGGGTTTCGGACCCAGGGATCAAGACCCCCGAACCTGGACCCCCAGATCCCCACCGGCCAGCCGGAGGTCCGTGGATGGGGGTCGACAATGCTGGTTGAGACTGATAGGTTATAAACTAACAGCTACAAATCAACGAAAGAATGACATTGAATGAGAACGTCAGCGAACATTCATGCCAACAAAGTTCGAATTGGTAGAGGTACTCGTAGTTTAAACTCATGAGTTACAAAAAATGACGGTGTTTTGGCAGCACCACCACCCATAAGGAGGATGGTCACACAACCAACAACAAGCAGATAGTGACAATGATTGAGTACTTCACAATAAAGCAGCAAAGAGCCAAGGGATCCTGACTAGAGGGAGGAGGAGAAGGGGAAAGAGAGTGAATTTCTAAACGCCGTTTTGTTTTTGTCTTTTGGGTGGGGGTGAGGGGGTGGAGGGACCCGGGGGGGGAGCCCAGATTGATCCCATCTACATCTGCGCCACAATTGTGGCCATGGTGGTCATCCGCTCTCCCCCTTCCCTCTTCCTCTCTTTTACCATTTCTGATGGGATATATGGCTCTACATTCTTTTTAGCTACTGGATTCCATGGCTTTCATGTCATCGTAGGAACCATTTTTCTTAGTATCTGTTGTGTTCGTCAGTACATGGGTCATTTTACTCGAAGACACCATTACGGGTTTGAAGCTGCCGCTTGGTATTGGCATTTTGTTGATGTGGTTTGGTTATTTCTATTTGTATCTATCACTCGTCCTTCGCTCTGTTGATGCCTCATCTCCCCTCCTGCGCGCTGCGACGGGCGCACTTGTTTACACAAGCGGTCAACAACTTGTTGAATCCTCACTGAAAGTAATTATGAAGCGCTAAAGATTCAACGTCGTTTTGAAGTTTTCTATCGGGTTTCAACAATTTAAAAGGTGCTGAAAAAATGAAAATTATGAATACCCCCTCCTCTGCATAATGTTGAACATTCTGAAAATTTTGAACCGTTGGAAATAACAAAATGTTGAATATTAGGAATGCCCCCCTTATATCCCAGTGCAAATAGACGTTGAAGGTTCTGAACACTTCGAAGTGGAGAAGATGCTGAAAATTCTGAACACCCCCTCGAGGCATCCAGATGAATTTTGACACTGAAGATTTTTAAAACTTTGAAGTGGCGAAGATGCTGAAAGTTTTGAACCCCCCCCACCTTCCCCTATTTTGTTTTCTTTAAGGAGGGGTTATTCATAATTTCCGGCACCTTCACACCACTTCAGGAATTGAAAAAAAATCATAGTCTTGATGTATATTAACATGGTGTTCTGAAATTCTGGCTGCATCTCGTATTCTTCCACATCCGGGAGATAGGTCTTCAGAGATGGTTGAACCTGGACTGATATCTTCTGAGTTCCTCTGTTTTGTGCCCTTGGTTTGCTGATGCCAGAACGAAGCTGGCCGGAGCTGGGGCGTTGCCCTGTAACCTGTAAATAGCAGGAGTGTGAGGCCTTGTAGAGAGATCTGGGGTTTGCTGAGGGTGGAAGGCATTCCAGTGGTGAACCGGGGGGCGCTGAAAGGAGGCGAGAAGGGATCAGCTATGGTTGATGTTGGTCAGGTTGTTTCTGTCTCTGTAGTATAGTGTCCTGGTACAGGGAGGGCTAGGAGTTGTACTGGGATTAGGAGCCCAGAATAGATGATATAGCATCATCATCATCATCAACATCATCATCATCATCATCATTATCATCATCACACCATTAGTTTCATCATCTGATTATTGTTATATTAAGCTTTTTGGTGTTCTGAAGTTTTGGCAGCATCTAGCATTCTTCCGCATTCGGGATATAGGACTTCAGAGATGGTTGAACCTGGACTGATTTCAACTGAGTTGCTCTGTTCTGTGCCCTTGGTTTGCCGATGCCAGAACGACGCTGGCCGGAGCTGGGGCGTTGYCCTGTAACCTGTTAATAGCAGGAGYGTGAGGCCTTGTAGAGAGATCTGGGGTTTGCTGAGGGTGGAAGGCAGTCTAGTGGTGAACCGGGGGGGGCTGCAATGAAGCGAGAAGAGATCAGCTATGGTTGACAATTAGTTAGGGTGGTTTTGTCTTTGAGGTACAGTGTCCTGGTATAGGGAGGGCTGGGAGTTGTTCTAAGATTAAGAGGCCAGAATAGCTGATATATCATATTCTTCTTTAATTTTTCATATTTTTGAATCATCATTCTCATTAGCATCATTATCTAGGGTATTATCAGTGTCATTAGTATTATCATGGTCATCATTAGCGGTTTCCGTATGTTCATTCCGGGCAGACTGTGAGGACCCCGGCCTCAATCTTATTATTGGAAATATCAGCCTTGGGCACTGGGCCCGGTTAAAAAAAAAAAAAAAAAAAAGATTCCAAATCTGAAGTGGTGAAGATGCTGAAAAACCTGAGCCCCCTCCTTTTCCCCCTGTTTTGCTTTTGTTTTGGGGAAGGTCTGTTCATAACTTCAGTACCGTACAAACGCTGAATATAAGTGGACCCGTTAACCACATGTCATCCTTTTGTTGTTGTTGGTTTTAGTCCAGTTTCAATTTATTTTTTCTGGAATGGCATGTTGGGATTTTGAGGCATGGGACACACGAGCCGGTTTGTAGTATTAGCCTAAGCTGGGAATTGGCCCCAGCATTCTTGGTTGAGATGTGGTGAGATTCACGGCCTCCTTTTGCTCATATAATGAAATCGTGCCATTCCACAAAAAAAAAAAAAAAAAAAAAAAAAAGGTGATGAGACCAATGGGGTGAGGTTCGGAGGGGAGCAGCTTTGCAGGATGGCCCAGATAGGTGACGACTCTTACAAGGCAACAAGGTATGAAAAAGAGGGAGGGCTATTACGATATGAAAGACCGAGTAGATGCCATCTTGAAGCGAATAACTTACCCCAGACACTCATTCTAACGTCTCGTTCCTCATCGTCTGATAAACTGCAGCTGGCCCTGCAACAGGCAGATCGAAAGCAAAATAAGCCTATTAAAAGGAAAATTCGGAAAAGTGGCATCTACTCGGTCTTTCATAGCGTAATAGCCCTCCCGCCCTCTCTCTCTCTCTCTCTCTCTCTCTCTCTCTCTCTCTCTCTCTCAATCTGTCTGTGTGTGTGCTGTTCTAAAAGACCCCAGACTCTCTCTCTCATTCCCTTCACAAATCATCACAAGCCATCCATAACGAAAAAGTATAGATATTAGATAGCCAATATAATAGAAATGCAAGGTTGGCCAAGTTTGTGTTGTTCAGTGCCAAGTGCCCACACACCCGTCTGCCGCCAAAGCGGCACACTTGCACATATGTATATGCATATGTATACATATATATTTCAAACCATAAGGGGATGGAGGGCAGAAGGCTACTTACCTAAGACAGAAGACTATTCCAGCAAGAAGGCACCAACCCGACCCCCTCAAAGGTCCGAAAAAACTTGGAGAGCTTTCTGCATCGACCCACAAAACCAAAAAGTGTGTGTGTCTGTGTGTGTGTGTGTTTGACTGTTACCACGACAGCCCCTTTTCCACCCACAAGTAGATCCAAAATTGAAACAGCGCAACCTCACATATCTGTCAACTAAAGGATTGCACTTTGGGAAGCAAACGAAGAAGACAGGTTCAGGGATGCTGGACCCGGTTTCCAGCAGGTGTTGCTCCCCACCAATAGATGGAGCCTTCCCAAGAATGCTAGCGGTGCCTGCTCCTACCAGCACCCCTAGCACATCACGGGCTGTTCAAAAAAAAAAAAAA